AGATTCAATAAAATCATAACTTGGGGTTTGGTAGTTAAACCTTCATCTACTCCTGCAATTTAAATTCCTTGCAAAATTATATACATGCTTTGTGAATACTAACCTTTCAGGTGGTGGAACGAGAAGAATCGACAGGTACACTTTTAAATTAATCCATTTCTCTTTCTATACTTATTGTCTCAAGCTTGCATGTTAAACTATGATGTCACTCTGCATGAAAACTAAAACTACCAGGGAAGAAATAACCCTTACTACTATACCTCTACAGTTAGCAGATCGTTCAATAACATACCTTAAAGGAGTTATAGAAGATGTATTAGTGAAAGTGTATCAATTTATCTTTCCTATTGATTTCATTGTGCTAGATATGAAGGAAGATAAAGAGTTACCTATCATTTTGGGGACACCTTTCCTAAACACAGGAAGAGCAATGATAGATGCGCGGAAAGGGGAATTAACTATGCACGTCAATGATCAAACTGTTACTTTTAACATTTCAAGATCAATGAAGGGAACTGTAGGATCCTAACCGGTGTCGCTCTAATAAACTTTAACATGCCCCATAACATTTAAAGAACTTTAACTATAGGGTCATCTAATTTAACATCATAACTTGACACCCTAGAAAACTCAAATTCATCGCAGCAAGGTTCTTGGAGCTAGCATGGTGGGCAGCACGACCATCTTCAACAGCAAAAAATGTCTTCCTCAGCTAAATCATTCCTTCTATAGAATTAAACAACAAGCCATAGGACTTCAAGGTTATTTGCTTATGCAATATAAATCCTCAACTTATTTTTAGGCTTTTTGCATAACTCTGTTGTATAATATAAGCCCTAACTCGTCTTAGGATTCTGAGGTTGTCATTTGTCATAACCTAAATTCTCACATCTTCTAGACCATTTGTGTGATCATTTCACATGAATGTAAGTCCTAAACAAATAAAATCGACATGATGAAACATTCAAATATTTCTCTCTAAAACTGAAACCAAACATTACCAAATCATACGGTAGACTAGGAAGTCACCAAGGTTCTCCTCAGGATCTGTTACATCCCCTAGTTCTTCCTTTTTTGAACTCTACAACAAAATGTTCCAAATTTGAGTCATTCCCCTTTCACACCTCTTTGTCTGATATCGTTGAAAAGTCCTATCCTTTTGACCTTCTTGAAAATAATATTTCCTAATTTTTATCGAGAGTTTTTTTGAGTGATTTCGGTCATTTAAGATGTAATTAACTATATGAGCTTGTCTTTATAAGAAGTTTTTCCGAACCCAACTTAATATAAACCTTATTAAATTCTTCGTATTAAATAGGGAAACTTGTTGGCTTATAAATAAAATAGTTTAGAAGACCAAACATCAGACCAAACAGATGTTATATATTTCTTAGTTTAATTGATCGAGCCTCACCCTCAAATTTTGTGTTTATCTTTCAGGATAGTTACATGGTTTGAGGTATAATGCTCTTTCATTTAAACTATGAAAAATAGAGGGTCGATTTGATTTCATATTTTCTAAACTATATTTACATATATGTAAATTAAATGTCTTTCCAAAGCGGGCCACAAAATTCTGATTCCAGTAGCTGACGGCTTCCAACGAGCAACTTCACAACCAAAATAGTACTGACAAGGGTTCAGGAAGTTTGACAGTTTAGGGTTCAAGGTCCAGGATTCAAGGTTTAGAGTTCATGGTTTAGGTTTCAGGGTTTAGGTTTTCAATGTTTAGGGTTTAGAGTTTAGGGTTCAGAGTTCAGAGTTCAATATTTAGGGTTTAGTGTTAAGGGTTCAGGGTTCAGGGTTTGGGTTTCAACGTTCAAGGTTAGGGGTTTAGGGTTCTAGATTGGGGGTTCAGGGTTGGAAATTTTAGGTTTAGAGTTTTGGATTTAGGGTTCCGTGTTCAGTGTCAAGGGTTTAAGGTTTCTAGGACCAGTGTTAAGGGTTCAGGGTTCGGGGTTCAGGGTTCGGGGTTCTGGGTTTAGGGTTCTAGTTTAAGGGTTTTTAGCATTTAGAGTTCCGGGTTCAGAGTTGATGGCTCAGGGTTCTAGGTTCAGGATACATAAGTGGGGGTTAGGGTTGAGGGTTGAGGGTTGAGGGTTGAGGGTTGAGGGTTGGGGGTTCAAGGTATAGAGTTGAGGTTTGGGGGTTCAAGGTTAATGGTTCAATATTCAGAGGGGTTGAAGGTTCAGGGTTGAGGGTTGAGGGTTGAGGGTTGAGGGTTGAGGGTTGAGGGTTGAGGGTTGAGGGTTGAGGGTTGAGGGTTGAGGGTTGAGGGTTGAGGGTTGAGGGTTGAGGGTTGAGGGTTGAGGGTCCAATGTTCAGGGTTGAGAGTTGGGGGTTGGGGTTTCAGGGTTCAGGGTCCAGGGTTCAGGGTTGAGGGTTGCCGTCAAGGTTTGGGGTTGAGGTTCTAGGGTTGGGGGGTTCAAGGTTGGGGGTTGGTGGTTCAAGGTTCAGGGTTCAGGATTGGGGGTTCAAGGTTCCTGGTTGAGGATTGAGAGTTTAAGGTTCGAGGTTCGGGGTTTAGGGTTCCGAGTTTAGGGTTCAGGGTTTGGGGTTCAGAGTTTGGTTTTCAAGGTTAAGAGTTGGGGGTTGAGGGTGCAAGGTTCAAGGTTTAGGGTTCAGTGTTCTGGGTTGGGGTTCAGGGTTGGGGGTTGGGGTTCAGGGTTTAGAGTTTCTGGTTCAGGGTTCCAGGTTAAGGGTTGAGGGTTTAGGGTATTTAGGGTCAGGGTTCACGGTTCTGAGTTCACAGTTCCGAGTATCGGGTTCAGGTTTGAGGGTTGAAGGTTCCAGGTTTTTAGCGTTCAGGGTTCCGGGTTCAGGATTCATGGTTGGGGTTGAGGGTTCAGAGTTCAGGGTTCAGGTTTCAGGGTTGGGGTCAAGGTTGGGAGTTTAGGGGTTCAGGTTTCAGGGTTCAAAGTCCTGCGTTCAGGTTTCAAGTCTTTAAGGTCAGGGTTCAGGGATCAGAGTTGAGCATTCAGGACGTTGAGCGTTCAGGATTTAAGGTTATAGGTTGAGGGTTGAGGGTTGAGGGTTGATGGTTCAGGATTGAGGGTTGATGGTTTAGGATTGAGGGTTCAGAATTGAGGTTTGGGGGTTGGGGATTTGGGGTTGGGGGTTCCGGGTTCATTATTCAGGGTTGAGGATTGAGGGTTTATGGTTCCGGGTTGAGGGTTGGGTTTTTTTTTTCGGGGTTTAGGGTTCATATTTGAGGGTTGAGGGTTGAGGGTTGAGGGTTCAGAGTTCAAAGGTTTGAACGTTCGGGGTTTAGGGTTTTAGGGTTCAAGTTTGAGAGTTTAGGGTTGAGATTTTCATAACATTATTTTCAAATTTTGAATGCCAACTATCTTCACAGCCACTATCTTGTTCGAATCAAATACTTTGTATACACTTCTTTCTGAAAAATCAAATCCAAAAATTTCTATTCAGCATACACAATATGGTATCCTAAAAACTAAAATAGGGGCAAAACAGTCAAAGCAAACTAATCGTTAATGTGAATTTCCCTTTCTTTGATTTATAACATTCAGGTGCAGCAAAAATGAAATTACATATAGTAAGAAATGAAAACACCGAAATGACTCAGATTATGAAACCTAACATTCAGATAGGAGCATTGAAGGGGGTGGACCGAATGAGTTCTAAAAACTATCTCCTGTCCTGTTCTTCAAATGGTCAACAGCTTCAACTCCAACACTTCAGAGCAAAGCTGACCCATCATGCTGTAGAAAGAAAGCAGCTCCGAAAGCTGAACAACAGACATTTTATTCATCAAGTTTCTTGCAATGTTCTGCCCTTCCTGGTTCTTCTTAACCCTCTGAAGATAGGAATTGGAGTTCCTTACAGTTGCGCCCATCTGCTCCAGTCTTTTCTCCTGCTGCAAACTCAGTGCAGTGTTGGACTGCAATATGAAACATTACAGAATTCGGTAGTGAGAAGTGTTGGGATGGAAGTGCACCACATGGATTGTTTGCTTAATTAAAGAATTATATGCTTGGAAATCAGTTGCAGAAATCATTTAGTTTCAAGTGCTATGTCCCAGCACTCACATATGCACATGCATGCACATGTGCAGAAATGCTTTAAAAAAATTACATAAAGTTTAATTCATGATATAATTATGTTGCACGTTGCACTTATAATGTATGCATGTTAATAGAAATTATCGATGCATGTTTTATTACTAATTATAACTATAGGTAAAATCCGAATTTAAATAATTTTAATATTATATTATGGATGATTCAATTTAACGATGATATAAAAAAAAAGGAATGGACGGAAGCTATTATACGAGCTCCGACCATCCCTCATGCGTCTAAGAATTCGAGTACCACACCTTACACTCGGAGGGAATCGAACCCCAGATCAAAAGAGAATTACAACTGATAAGCAGATGACAGATGCTCTACCAACTGATCTAAGACACGGCGCTAACGATGATATATTTATATATAATTTTTTTTATTAAATCTGAAAACGTCATGTTACTGCAAAACTAAATGGAACTAGTTTGAGCAAAATAAACTTATAGAAATTCATTAAATTATGCATAAAAGTGGCTGTATTTACTTCTGAAAAAATACATTTCAAAATCAAACAAATTAAACAAGCTCAAAAACACTTTTTGTTTATTTATTACGTATCATTAAAATTAATTAAACTCAAAACTGCTCATACAAAATTATAGGAAGGAAGTAAAGCACCTCAAGGAACTCTGCTCCAGGTTCCAGATCAGATTTCTCAAGTATCGGCCTGTCATGCCTTCCAACATACAGGTCCTTCGCAATGGAGAAACTTCTAACAATCACCCTCCTCTTCTCCTCCATCTCCTGATCAAATCTTGGAGTTCTGGCAACCTTCTGATTTATCGCACCATTAACCTTCCTCTGATAAGCTGCCACTGCCTTCACAAACTCCTGCAACATTTTATCATCAAAAACAAGCAATATATATTTTATTCAAGATTTTATAATTATATAAGGATTAATGGAGGCATACACAGAGCTACATACGTTGGAGGTTATTCAGAGGGTATTGGGTGTTATATCCGTGTTATATCTTGTGTAACATTCCTGTAATTTATCTATAACCCCTTAATGCCCTCTGAATAACCTCAGACGTACCTTACGTGACGTGTATGTACTTAAATTTTTCTCGGATTCATGATACCTGATAAGCCCTGGCGCAACCCGGATAATCAAACTCATCCGACCCATTCTTCCTCATCCTCTCCGGATGAAACTGCAATCCCATCAAAAACTTCCCCTTTTCCACATCAAACACCTCCGGATCATAAAACCCTTCCACCAAACCATCCTTAGCCAAAGCCATAACCCGAAATCTTTCCGCCAATCTCTTAACTCCTTGATGATGATAACTATTCACCAATATCTCCTTCTCCCCAAACCACTCTTTCAATGGCGTCCCATCCACCACGTCCACAGCATGCCTATGTCCATCATAGTTCTGGTAGTCGACATGTTCGACGAAATGCCGCAACTCTTTTCCGACGTCGCAGTACAGGGTTCCGCCGCAGGAGACGTTGAGGATCTGAGATCCCCTGCAAATGCCGAGGAAGGGAATGCCGCGGGAGAGGCAGAGGTGGGAGAGACGAAGTTCGATGGAGTCTTTTGAAGGATCTGTTGCAGTGTCAGAGGAATGGGTGAGGCCGATTTCATGGAGTTCGGATGGAGAAAGGAAGTCGGAGGGGTTGGAGGAGTAGTGGGAAGGATCGATGTCTTCGCCTTCGCAGAGTAGGACGCCATGAATTGGCTCGAAGCTTTCGAGTAGGAGATGAACTCCGGCGACGCGGGGGACGATGATGGGAACCGCGCCGTAGCGGAGGATAAGATCCAGGTGGTATTCTCCTGCATGTGGGAATTGGAGATGAAAACTAAACGAACTAAAAAACAAAAAAAAAAAAAAAGAACTTTTTTTTTAAAAAAAATGGTTTTTTAGATGATGCATACCGACAAAATCCACGAATTTGTTCTTACGAACGCATCTGCGAGAGACGATGATGACGCGGGGAAGGATGGTGGAGAGATCGGAGGAAGCCATGGCTGCTTCAGTTGCTTCGCTGATCTCTTGCTGCCAACTTACTCTGCTTCGTCTCAGACTTTTATAGAAAGGAAGATTGTATTTATCAGTTAAAATATTATATATATATATAATTTTAAATGGATAATCTTAAGAGGGGTTATTTTGGGGAAGGTCAAGAGGATGTGGGGCTGACGTTGCGCCTAATGTGGATAAAGTTGTCTTATGGTGGGTTTACTCCCATGGGATACATGTGATGGATTAACCATTAAGAGACCCGAATTTTCTCTCCACACACCTGACGTATTTCTATGTGCAGTGTATGTTATTCTTGAATTATTTTCAGGTTATTTCTGAGTTATTTTAAATTAAAAATAATCCAGAAATAACACAAAAATAAAGACCGCGGTTTATTTCTAGGTTATTTCTGGATTATGGAAAATAGCTCAGAAATAACCTGAAAATAACTCAGGAATACCCTGCGCTGCACGTAGAGCTACGTCAGGAGTCCGCACAGAAAAATTTTTGCGTTAAAGGAGAGGCCGAGACTCTTATAAAAAATAAAAAAAATTTAATAAAAAAAGGCTTTGAATTTAGAGTTATGTCCGGATAACGTACGCGATACACGGGAAAGTCTGTTTTTTTCCTCAACTTTTTCTGTTCATCGCATCTGTTAACTAAATGCAGCTTACGTTTGTACTCCGAAAGAAATATTTTTTTCCTTCTTAATGAGTTTAAATTTATTTCGTTTTAAAAATTTAACTTGAAAAATATATTTTATATGAACAATAAAAACTATGTAATAACTTTGCATATTTATTGCCGTTTTTTGAAAGATTGTGCATGACTTTGAACGAAAACATAAAATAGATGCAACTCGCATTTGTTGGGCGAGTTGAGTGGGTAAGTTGGAAATTATATTAAGCAATATATTTTTTTTAATTTTATTTGTTGATTTGATATTTATTTTTTTTATTATTTTTTTTATTTTTTAGTTCAACAAGTAGGAAGAAAGAGATGTATGATAGATCTTCTTCATGAATGGGGGTATGTTTGGGGGCGCGGTTGGAGGGCTTCGCGGTACTCCACCGTTGATTTTCCCTCTTTGGGAGCGCGGCAGGGTAATTTCGCGGCCACCGTTAGAGAAATTTTTGCTAAAAACCGGCCGCGGAATCAACTCCGTGACGCACATTCTGTGATTCTATAAATGGAATCAGAACTGAAATGTCAACACCTATCTTTATTTTTCAAATCCATGAAAACAGGATTAGGTGTGCATTAATGGTGAGAATATGAGCAATTTTAGGCTAAGTCAACTGCTCTTTTGGACAAAATTCTAATTGGAAGCTTTAGATTATCTGCAATGGAGGCTTTTAAAGTGAATAGAATATACGTCAAGAGGATAAGGAATATGATCCTTTGAATTGTTAGATAAGTACTGGGAGAGTTTTCTAGCCGAATGTATTTATCTTTTTTTTTTTTCTTTCTTACTTCTTATTTTAATTGTGCTACCGTCATAGTAGTTCTGATCATAAACTTGTTGCCTATTAATTATGATTTTTAAGGGAATTATATAACTTAAGGCACCACAAATGGTGAAGAAAGAAAATTGTACAACTTTAATTGCTTGAGTGGAGTTCAATTAAACTTAGCTTACAAAAGGTCTGTTTGGGCAGCTGCAGCTTTTCAGCTTTTCAGTTGCAGCTGCATTGCTCTAGGAAGTTGCTCCGGGGAAGCTATTGAGGGGAAGCTGGTTGTCTGTTTGTTGCATGAAGAGAAGTTTCAGTTACATTACGAAGGCTATTACTGAAACTCTTCTTCGTTCAAGGAAATCTCTAAAGGCTATTACTTCTCCTCGAGACCTCCAATTTTCAAATTTCATTTTCTGTATTTTCGTGTTCTGCTGGGATTCATCCATCTCCATGACTGTGGAGCTCCATCCTAGGGCTTTTTTGTCCCGACGGAATTGTCTTGTTAATCTCATTGTTGGATTACTGAGAACAGAGTCTATTCTGAGGAGTTTCGAAGCAGCAGGAGTGGGGAGAGGAAGGAAGACTGGAAGATGATCACGGAGAAGCCAAGCTGGGTTAGGCATGAGGGTATGCAAATCTTCTCGATTGACATTCAGGCGGGGAATCTAAAGTTCGCAACTGGTGAAGAGAGGAGAAGCGGGTCTCGATCCGAAAAAAGCCAAAGTCGAATGCGGGTCGTGGAACTCTTTCCACAGCCGGCCGGCGTTTAACCAAAAACGCTCTGCAACGCGCTCCCAACGTGCTCCCAAAAGGCCGCAATTCGCGACTGCTCTCCACACGCTCTCCCGACACAGTACGAACACCCTCCCAAACAGGGTCTAAGAAGCAGCGACATGGGGAGTTCATCCAACTAAACTCATCAAATACTCGACTTTATCGACCCAGGGTAGACTAAGATGGGTCATAATGGTTGATCAATAGGAGTGGCCTTAATTGCAGAGAATTCACTAGTAAGATCAAGGCACCGTTAGCTTGAGAGACAACTAAATAAAGTAGAATGAATTCCAAAAAGGAACTCACGTACCGGCTTGGTATAATGTGCTAACTAGCTTGGAAGATGCATCAAGAGCATTCCACATAGAGACTCATTGAAGCTCAGTTAACTCAAGTGAAGTTGGATAGCATTTTTACACTCTTCCACCCTATTTTTGAAAAATATTGATGCATTTCCAAGAGTCAATACTATGGCATCTACATTTTAGGGCAACCTTTTATTAGATTATGTTGTTTATGATATTAATTTCTCTTAAAAATAACCTTTCTTATTGAGCTATGCCTCTAATAAATAGTCAGAGGTCAAGTCCAAGATTCATAGCACTATATCTAGTTTGAAAATTTAAGGCAATAAGAAAATTACAGAACTCCCCTTTTGGCTCTCTAGCTCCCGCTCCCTCCCTCCCTCTATTTCTACTTTTCTCTCTCTCAACTTTTGTTTCTCTCTTGCAAACCTGAAAGGTTAATGTTGGTTATACATCGGACGACCGTCGGTAATAAACTAATGGTTTGGGATCGCCGATTAAGGACAAAATAAAAAAAAAAATGTATCAGTTGCTCTAGGGTTGATTCGTAGCACGAGTGATCGAACAAACTGACCGTCACTTTATCAAGACCATCATACATCCGTTGGTTAGCAATGTGTCCATTAATCGACGGTCTGTAGCCATTGGATCGTAAAAATAAAGAGCAAAAAATCATTAGATATATGTCAGAAAGCCATCACAAAATTGAAGCATGAAAAAAAAAACAAAGAACCTCACTTCATTATAATCTTCACACTTATGATAATATTACAAATACAAATCTAATTATATATCGCATACTCTAATTTATCAATCTTAGAAGTCGTTCAACCAAAATCAAATGAACGAATACACAAATTAAACACAAAAATAAATATAATGCATTTAAATAAAGAATTAAACTATTTGTACTTAAATTAAAATGTTAGAAATGTCTCTTAAAAGAAATAGAAGTAAAAATGGTCAAAATACTCCTTCGTACCCTCATTTCCCTCCTCTTCAATATCCTCCTTTGCCCGTTACTTTTCGTCCGATGCCAAACGCATCCAATTCTACTTTCATTTTGACCTCATATTCTGACTTCATCTAAGCAAGCTGGGCAGGAATTCGTGTCTCAATGTCTGCAATGAATGCGACAACCTTCCTACAAATCACTTCCTCCTGTGCAACAGACTAGATGAGTTGAATATATTGGACGAGTGATGAGTGTCATAGTCCTGTGCCAGAGAACCCAATCCTGAGACCCTTCCCTTCTTCTTACCTTCAGCATCCTTTCTCTACAGTTCATAGTGAGATGGATCATGATTTGGGATCGTGAGCCCTCCTGTGTGAGGGGTGCGGCTCTCCTTCAACTGCTGGAAGGTTTTTAATAAAAAAATTAAAAAAAAAAGTTAGGGATAAAATTAAATTCAATAATTATTTGAATTCTATAACAATTATTCTTGTGATTTACATGTGTAACCTAGGATTTGTTGTCAACTCAAGTGTGATCTAACTGGCACTTATGGGTACGTGCATGAAACTCAACATCAGTAGACTTTATTTCTAACTCAAAGGCCTATCAAGTTAAGAAAATAATTAGTATATATTATTTTACAAGAAGAATTAATATGAAAATTAACTCTTAGTAGCCTCCTAAAAAACTCGGTATGTTGGAGCACCTCACGTGTATGTTTGGAGGCACCCATGCCTCCATAGCGAGAGCACCGATTATCTTTTACCTATTGACTCATCATTCGATAATCTGGAGCATCCCGAGCATTGAGCAATCCACCAAACACATCCTCTCATGCGACAAAGGGTGCTAATTTGTCTTCTGTACCTTGTTAAACTTGTCACAAAGTTGATCACTCCCTTTTTGCTTGAAGCTTCTTGTAATATATATATATATATA